ATTTTATAAAAATTTATAATATTATATATTTATTTAATATATGTAAAAGTTTATAAAAAATACAAAAAATTATCGTTACACAATTTTTATTAAGTATTTAAAATTTATATTAAATCTTAATTAATTTAAAATCAAATTAAATTATAAAAATTTCTCTTATTATTTCTTTTATTAATAAGAATCAAATTTAAAATTTTATTTTAAAAAAATCAAATTCTTTCAACTTACTCAAAGACGTTAATAGCTGTACACTGTTGTTTTTTTTTAACATAACGAAAATGGTTCATTTCAAACATCGCCATACGGCATCTACAGGAATAATAAACAGTAAAATTACATCAGGAGCAAGAAACTAGAGTAGACCCATATTCAGAGGCCGAAGGGAGGTGCACATGACACTTAAACAACCGCAAAGGGCCTAGCTATATAGCAGCCTTCGGTCAAGCGATCCAAATGGGACACCCTTCAATCTACCCATGTGGAAGGTACGCCAGGCTCCAGGATGCTGATGCGGAGACCCGATCAGGCGGAGGCCGTTCCCTGGAGGCAGCAGGTGGGTCGCGAGGTTGCCAGATCTGGGATCCCCTACGTGCACTGCCACCGATAGAAACTGCCGGATGGAGGGGACCACCGCCGGATCTGCAAGCAAACCAAAATCAGCGAGCACCTAACAAGATCTGCAAGATAGAGCCGAGGGTCGCCTGATCTGAAATACATAAACTATACAAGAACACAAAGTAAAACAAAACAACAAGAAAAAACAAGAAAACCAAAGGGGTCACCAAAAGGGACCCAAAAGCCGACAGACCCAGAAGGGTCATCGGAGGAGGGAGCACAGGGCAGCTCCAACATGCTTGAGTGGCCAGGAAGCCCGGCAGCTCAAGCATCAAAACCTCGAAAGCTCAAAGGCTTCCAGGCAAAACCAACGCAGCGCCGGAGAAGGGAGGCAGAAGCAGGAGAGAAGGGGAGAGAAAAGGGGGATAGCTGTACACTGTTGTTAATATGGCTAACAGGCTAATATAAATTAGTTGGCTTTAACGGGACTGGGTGCGGAGGTGGCATAGCTATGCTCAGCTTTTGATATGCTTTTAGATACTACAAGAAAATGGGTTTTCTGTGACTGAAAATGATGACTGATTATCAATTGGTCACTACTATTTTTTATATTTGTGACTAATTTAAGATAATAATCA